TCCATCCATCCATCCATCCATCCATCCATCCATCCATCCATCCATCCATCCATCCATCCATCCATGCATCAAGGGCCACGAGCGGTTCAGGCCTTCCCACATGCCCTTGTGGGAGGCTGGTGCGGGTCTCCCCCTTCGAACATGTTCTGCTGAAGATGGAGACCTTGCACCTGCCCTTCCTGTCGTACAGGAACTTTGCCCATGATGATAGCGGAGTACCTCCTGAAGGGCATCTCTTCAACGAGACCACCATCACGGGAACGAGGGTCTTTTGCATTGGGTATTTGATCACCATCTTGTTGCGCTATGTTGCGCTTTCTCTTTTACCTCTGCGCCGCCCTTCAGGGTCCCAAGTCCCTGACCAAGACGACGCTCCTGATTGCAGTGCACTTCATGGCGATGACGAGTCCTCTACGAGCTGAGGCACCGTCTTGGTGGCCCGAGGGTTGCCATAGTGCTGGTCTATGGCAGAAGCTTCACAACCAATCGCCAAATCCTGTTCTGGAATGGGGCGAATGGATCCAGCAAGATCCACACATGTCCTGTAGCCGCAAAAAGCTTTTCGTAAGGCCTGTCACCATGCTGCAAGAGAAGGATGCACTCGATATCGTGGTCGTCAGCACACTTTAGAGAGTCAAAAGCTATGGGAGGCTCTGGATCGACTGCCGTGCAGACACATGCTCTTGTGGCTTGGTGACTTTAACTGTACATTGCCTGCGGTCACCTCGTTGGCCCCTGTTGCCTCGTTCAAACCTTTTCAGGTACCCTGCCATCGAATGTGCACCATCCTGACAGCCAGCATTTTGCCGTATTGTAAAACTGCATAACCTTGTTGGTTAAAACTGCTTTCAAGTCAACCACCAATGGCAGGAGCTCTTCTCGGATTGATTTTGCCTTCACACGAGCCGCCTGTGTGATAAACTGGCCAAGATTTCGACCGCAACATGACTTTCATTTCCTTTGATAGCCAATTTGATTTCCTATCATCTCCCGCTGAGTAGTTCCATGGCCATCCATTGGCGCAGGAAATTCGATCGCGCCAGACCTACCACCATCACCTTGCAGCAAAGAGAACGCGCACACCAAGCCAAGGAGTGCTCGTCCTGCTCTTGGCAACGTTTTGCTGCTTGAGACAGGGATCTCTTTGACGAGTCAGCTTCCATGCGCACAGTCATTGATATGCGCAACCGTCTTCGGACCGCATTTGCTGACTCGTTTCCACCAGCAGGCCATTCCACACCTGCTTGGCAATTCCAAGAAAGTGCTGTTCAACAGAAATGGGCCCTTTGGCACCAAATCAGAAATCATGCAGATCATACTTGTAAAGGCATCTTTAGAGTGCGGCGGCAATACTGTGACTTCCTAAAGCTTCACCAAAGCTGTTCGTCGACCTATTCAACTTAGAGACTGTCATGGCCAACCTCTGGGTCCTGTGGAGTCACATGCTGCCTTAGTGCAGTTTGTCCGCACCACATGAAACGCTCCGCGGCCTGAGCGGGGACTGCGCAATTGACCACGGGTGACCTCCTGGAGTGAGACTCCATTGCCTGTGACCCATATGCCTTTCACAGTGGACCAACTGCATCAAGCCATCAGAAAGTTGAAGTGGAACCAAGCGTGGAGAGGCATTCGGTCCACTCGCAGACACCATTGCATTGAAATTGTTTGAACTGCTGCGACTTTGGTGAAGCTCAGACGTTCCGTTCCTTCCTCCATCCTCTCGGAAGGACAGCTGGCTCGTCTGGTTGACGAAGCCCAGCAACACCCCGGATCACCCTCGTAACCTCAGGCCCCTCAACTTTGTCACACCCTGTGGCCTTTGCGCCCAGCGGTTTGTGATTGTCCCATTGGCTGCCCTCAGCTCAGCCTTCACTGTGGCCGATATCAATCTTCCCGATGGGAGTTGGCCCTTCCTGATATGGAATCACTCCCAGAGCAAGCTGGAAATCAATCAAGCCAAGAAGAGTTTGCCCATGACGACTGTTATGGAGTTTCTGGACGAGATCAGAGAACTCCTATGCCAGCAGAGCTCAGCCCAATAATGGGGACCCCACCCCCTGGAAGATGCAGATTGGCTTGCGCGAGACGACTCTCTTCGATCTGCTCTCCAAGCTCACATATTCGAGCACGTGGCAACTGTTGCAGATGACGATGCGACCGCGCAATGCCAAGCGCACTCATTTGGCCACGACCATTCAGCAGAACCTGCGCTCGGCCTCCACGCACAGGCCGCAGACAAAGGGAAAGGGAAAGGGCAAGCAAAAACACTCTTCTTGAGCAGGAACGACGCCCTGACCTTGGACCTGCCAGCCGCTCGACAAGGGCTACTTCAGACCAGGCTGGCAAATCCAGAGTCATGGTGCTACCTAAACGCCACCCTCACTGACCTGATATGGCTTCTACTATCAGATCCTCTGGAAAGGGCGCAGCTGAGTGAGATTTGGGGTCACCAGGCAAAGGCCTGGCTCAATGTTTTGGCATTGCATATGCACCAGTGAGCAGCCGGTCACACTTTTTGACCATGTGGCCCTGCGGCCACTGATGCAGTACTGGGGCACGCAGCCTCACCAGCAATGCTGTGCTGTGGAATTCCTTTTGAGGGTGCTTGAGTGGAGTCAGCTCCCCTTGCTTGATCGCACCGCGGAGCAGAGATAGCTCCAGGGATCGACAGTTGATGTGTTTGAAAAAGGTGTAGAACTCTGTTTGCTGACGTTCAACTGGATTGAAGAACTTGACATGGAGCATGTCCTCCTCTCGGACTGCATTTGGTCTTGGGTTCACCACTTTGGAATGCGCTCGGCTTATGTTTCCTCCTCACCCTTCAAATGTCTGCATTTGGACCGAGGCTACTTGGTCCACCATGACTCGGTGGCAGTGCCGAAGGTCCGCTTCACGGAAGTGATCAACTTGCCGATCTTTGATGGGAATCACATCTCCTATAGCCTCAAGCCCTACCAGGTCATGGCCATTTTGGCCCACTTCGGCGACAAGCGTGGCGGCCACTACGTGGCAGTTTTGAATGGCCTTGATGGCCAGTGGATTGAGAAGAACGATGCCAGGCCACCGGTCTACCACCACCAGACCGGAGTACATCTGGACCGCGGCCTGCGCGCCTGTGAACAGCCTGAACCATCACAGCAGCTACAAGAGCTGCTTCAGTTTCTTTCGGCCTAAGAACGCGGCATGCACTCTGCCAAGGAGTGGGATGCGCAATGAGACTTACCTCAGCGTCTTGCAAAGCAAAAAATAGCATCCATCCATCCATACATCCATCCATCCAGTTGAAATCAGGAGCAAGGACTCCAGCACGCCACCTCAGCCAGCCAAGCCGGATGACCATTTGCTCGTCTCGTCTTCCAGTTTTGCTGTGCTTACAAAAGTTAGCCACCCGCCACCCGCCACATACTACAGACACTCAGTTCACACTTTCATGTCTAGGTCATTCGATTGCCGGAACATACATATATAAGATTAATATTAATATACGTATATAAAAGAGAAAGAGAGAGAGAGGAAAACACACATATATAGACATAGAGTTGTGATGCGTTTCGTGGTCTTTTTAGTGGGGAATGAATTATTTGAACAGATTGGTAAAAGGTAAGAGAAAAGTAGTCACTCAAGTTGTACAGTTAGGCTACATGAATGCATGGGTTGGAAAACAGGAAGCACAGGTGCGGCTCAATTTGTGCATCAGTCAGAGAAGAGGCAACACTAGGTGACCAAGGAGAAATTGAATTCAATTGTTTATTGTGCACCATGTTTAAAGATCGTGCCTTGTCCAAATCACATGTTCTCCTTGTTTTTAATGTTGTTAACTTTCAAAGGATTCACAAGAAATACCTAAACTAAAACATATCAAATGCAAAAGATCTTTTATGCACTGTAACCATATATACATATCAATTATTAGCAAATATATACTCTCCTGAAGAGGCACATGCCCAGTTGCCACTTGTCCTTGCCTTGATCTCACAGGAGGCCACGGCGCCCGGGGCCGGGCAGCTCAACCAGACTGACCCAGCAACCCCAACGGCTTGATCATTAGAGATGCTGATTGGTTGGTGAAGATGAGAATGAATGAGATGCGACCTGATTTGATTCCAAAGACAGCTTTGGCACACGGTTGGATTTTGTATGAACAAAACGTGTCAACTACAGAATTCGATTGCAATACCATCATTCGATTCAAAGAAAGGCACATATTGGCATGTCTTGACAAAACTCTGTTTTAAAATCCGAACATCCGCAGGCCCCTGCTCCTCCATCATGGACAGACGTACTTGAACGTGGCTTGGATCAAACTTTTGCTTTTAGTGTCCAAGTTTGGCTTGTCAAAGCCATGCCAGGAATCGAGCAGCAGAACATCGAGATCAAGCGGAACCAGGACAGACGTTTGTGGGACGTAGGAAGGAACAGTGATAGACGAGAAGTCTGGAAGTCGATACACTTCTTTTTTCTTTTTCATTTAAGCCTTGAACTAGAGCCGCTAGGGTGTCAACACCGAAGAAAAAGTCGCTCGGGTTGTTTGAAGTTGGACCGTGTCCAGGAGTCAATGCTGCGACAACTACACTCTCTGCAAAGCAGAAGCACTGCATATCCATCACACGGATACTGAGACCTGCAGACCTGCAGACCTGCCACGACCTGCAGAGGTGCCATGTCTCGTGCCACCATGGTGTGGCACGTTGATCGTGATGCTGTCAGAGGCAGCATCAACAAAGGATCATGCAGGATGTGAACTTTTAGAACCCTGAATACCAAGGAACCTGTGTAATAGTTTGAGGACTTGCACTGCACTCTATTTGCTTCCAGCCTGGAAGTCTTCCGATTGATCGAGGTTGTCCAAGTCCTTTTTGCGTCAGCTGACCCTTCGCAAAGCCGAGGAGACAGCATAGCCAGTCTCACCATCGACCCACGTTTTGCAAATCCTGCGAAATATGGTGTTGCAGCAGCTGTTGCATGGTGTTCCTGTTCCTGTCAGGTCTACTCTGACATTATAAACAGTCTCATGAGGATACGACCTTAGCCAAGAGGTCTCTTTAGCTGACTTTCTCCGTCACATATCATAAACATTTGGCCTCAGTTTTCCTCCGCCTCTCGCTCGGTCCAACTTGGCCGTTGTGGTCTCCGTATGTTTACGGCCGAAGGGATCCGAGAACTGATCGGAGATGTCCACCGTCGCTCGCCAGCGCCAGCTCTTTATCTCTGCAACAGATTTTAATTGACTGGTTTTGAAGGAAATTGGTGGTTTTATATACAGCGCTTTGTGGAATCACAGCGAATGACTCCCTACGATAGGAGACAGCCCACATTCCAGCCACGATGTCCCAATCCCGTTGTCCACAACTTTACCAAGTAGAAGGTGAGTCATGAGACATCATCGAACAGCTTGCAAGGCATTAACGCAGTAGAATATATATATATATATTATACACATATGTATGTAGTTTGTTACTGCCAAGACAGAACTTTCTGTGACATACAGGCTCATGTTGCATTGACACGATGGGCACCCGGAGCAGCTTTGTATCTGTGGGACCGGTTCCTCCAGGAGAGCAGGCCTGGAGTTCCAGGGCTCAGTACCTGTAAAATCTTGCATGTGCTTTTGCTGCTGCTGCTGCTGGTGCTGGTTCAATATGTTCATTTGCTTTGGTTGCAATTGAAGTGCTCAGGCTAACTTGCCTGGGCCCTTGCACACACGCCCAAGGCCGAAGGGATTTTAGCTCAGACATGTCAGACACGGCTTATTGCAACAGCCAATGTGGTAGAAGCATGATCATTCGATTGGATGCACCCCCTGAACCCCTGGAGCAGCCTAGATACGCACCTCCTTGCCTTTGTGAAAGGCCTCCGCTGGAGCCTAGCAAAGAGGAGCTTGATGCCCTGTCATTGGCAGCTCATGCGCGAGTCAGATGCTTAGCACGGCGGCTACTGCTTTCTGAGAGACGTTTCGACTTGTTCTGGTGGGACTCAGTTATGTTTTGCTTTTATCATTGCTTCCCGTCCCCTCTGGGGAGAGTGCCCCTGGGAGGGTAGTTTATTTAGGCAGGACCGCCTGCTGTTCTCTTGGCACCCACTTTGTAGGTCCGATCTCGAGAGGATGCAAAAATGTCCCAACTGCAAATTATGGAGGCCAGAGTGAGTCGCTTAGTCGCACTCGACACTGAACAGCTGTGTTTAGGGGAAGCATGTAAAATTTGAATTTGAGTATATAGTCCATCTCCTGCTTTCTCTCTCTCTGTATATATATATATATCATATAATCATATAATATACTGATATATAGGTATTTTTTCCTGAATGCCCGGAGTATCATTCTACCATGTAAGCTGCCAGCATATCATTGCGGAAGATGCAGTGGGTGCAGTTTTGAACAACACGTTGAACCTTTGGCAGGGAGAGTCTACGAAAGCGAATGGAGGGAGAGTTTAAGGTGTCCAATCTTTCAACCCATAATTTGTGATTTTGGCAGTGGCTGGATTTGATACAGCGGCTCTTCTAAATGAACCCACACCAAAAGACACTTGCCCCCAAGAGATTGCCTTGACCAAGAGTGCAATGTCGGGGCCCAAGATTCCATTCAATTTGGATGGGGCAGAAAGGTGGAGGAGGTGCTCCCCAGGCCTTGCTTTTGGCCAGGCCTTGCGCAGTGTTAGCCAGGCTCAGGTGGGTGGAGCATGAGTCTTTCTATTTCTTTTGCTGACCATGAGTTAGTTTGCTTAATATGGCAATGCACCCTTGATCCAGCGTTTGATGACTGATCGCAGAATTGCAACACAGTACCAAGTAGCGTCATGTGGCAGGATGCTGCTGAGAAGGCAACCCTGTCAGCGCGGACAGGTTCTCAGCGCATCGGACATGGGTGGCGAGTTGGACATGATTTGGAGTCGGTTGCTGGTTCATGTTTCTTTGCTATACCGTGGCCACAAGGAAAGCGCAGCAGATTCGTTCAAGTGTACAAGAGGTGCGCAGCCTTTTGCAATCAGATTCTTTGAGACTGAGCCGGTGCGAGCTGGACGTTGTGTTAAATGATATGCTGAGGTGAGAAACGAATCCAACAGAGAGTCTTGGCGGCACAAGATCCACCTGAACCATAATTTACAAGATCTATGCTTGCGGCGATAAAATCAGTAGTACAGGGATGCAAAGAAAGGAAGAAAGAAACGAAGGATAAAACAGGTCTAGAAAAGTCTTGGGAGAGAGTCAGAACGACTGAAGGACACGTATCTTGATACTAGCTATTATATGCTATACGTAAAATTCTGTACAACCAGTCATGCTTTTGTTCCCGTCACTCTCATTACCCATGTACCCTTGTCCTCGTCCGGCTCTTGGAGCGCTTCGCACTGGTCTTGTCATTTCATGTCATGTCCAAAGGATGTCAATTTCATAGCTGTACTAGTAACTAGAGCTACTAGGTGGGAGGCAATTGCTATTAGGTTGGATGCCATTACTACTAGTAGCAAGAAGCTACTAGGTGGGAGGCCATCGCTATTAGGTTGAAGGCCATTACTACTAGTAGCAAGAAGCTAGTAGGTTGGAGGCCATCGCCATTAGGTTGGAG